TCATTCATAGTTTTGATGCCTTCAGTGAGAATCTACCAACCTGGTCATGAAAATAAAGAAAACACATTGAATGAGAAGGTGTGTCCAAACTTTTGGCCTGTACTGTATGTCTAATACAAGGATAACAAAGGTTAACTGATAACACTGCAGACTATAACAGACACTCTGTCGTGAGCAGGAAAGTACCAGGTGTCGTGGGAGGCAGGCATGCTCCAGCGTGTCCAGCACGGAGTATTCACAGGTGGTACAGCTGAACTTCAGCTATGGGCAGGAGCGCATCCAAGGTGTCTATGTCGCCATCCATTTCCGTCTTGGTCCAAGGTTGCCGCTCCAAATGGTCCTCCCACCATTGCAGCTATAGTTGCCTGGAGAGACAGTGCTCTTCCCAGTAAGGAGCGAACAAGTGGAACTACACAACAAAAGATTAGTAGCAGAGCAAGAATGAGCACAGCACCCACACAGAGCGCTTTCATAAGGGTTTGCTGCCAACTGCCCCACATATTATACCACCAGTCAAACAACCTGTCATGTTGTCCCGCATTCCATACCATCTCGTCCTGCAACCCCTGCAGCTTTCACATAGCCTCAGTAAATGAACCATCCTGGGCTGTATTATTGGGAATAAACGTACAGCACTGATCCCCGAACAGTACACACACTCCCCCTTTTTCTGCCAGGAGCCAATCCAGGGCCATCCTGTTCTGTCAGGCCATCAGACTGGTGACCTGAAGTTGCTCCCCCAGAGATGCGAGTGCCTCCTGAGTATAGTTGGTAAACCCCTGCTGATTATAGTACAAATAATTTATTCACGCCACATTTTTGTTAAGAGTAGGCCAAACAAATATTGATTCAAACCCTGCAGCTATCTCACTTCTCACCTTACATTTCTCTGGAATGGCCCTCGGCTGACCATGTATACATCGGGATCATCATCATAATTCGCAACAAACCTACGGGACCTAGACGGCTGTATTCCAGAGTATATATCCACCTGGCTAGCTATCATCACCCTAGTGCAGAGGCCTCCCCAATTATATGGGAGAGTAGGCCTCAATCCTCCTGCCTGACCACACAGCCACCACGTATCTGCCAGAGGCACACTCTGGTTCTCTAGTGCATCCAGCGGAATACTCGATACTTCTCCATTCTGCACTTGGTTGCCTTTCACATCCCAAACAGTTCCACAGTTTCCCCAGAAGATGCCTACCGCCTCTGTCCCATTATTCTTAAAATACTCATGAGTATAAGACTTTTGAAAAAATTCAATTTCTGCCCTACGATATCTCGCTATCCCCCTTCCCTTGGCCTAAACTGCCCACAATGCTTTTCCACCCTGTATGCATATTTAGTATTTCCCTGGTATATCAGGCATCGATATGGGCAATACACTGCATGCACACTTTCGGATTAGATTTAGGTTTGCACACTTTGTCAGGGGTCCAACTATCCTGACACAGATCCTTCCAGAGTCTTCTAACCCTCTCCATTTCCCATTCTTCACAATGTTTATTAGTGTACAGGAACGGGACTACCCGAGCTGGAGGGTCAGAACTTGCAACACCACAAAATCCTCCTGCCGTAATGAAGTAGCGGTATACTCAGCCCATTTATACCACCAATTTCCACTCTTATGTTTTGCTAACCCATCCAGGTCCACTTCATCTTGGTATATTCTACAATTTGCTCGCTCTCCTCACTCCCATAGCTCCCACCTACATCTCTCCACTGTTGCTCATTGTCATCTGAGAGGTTATTCAGCATCAGTGGACCAGGTTGAGTCAGTGAAGTCAATTGTCCTGAACTCTCCTGTCCTGTGGTCCGGCTGTGCACCCAGACTTGAAGGGCCTGCTATATCATTAGCATCACCAGTATCGTCACTGTCAGCCCTATCATAACCCACAGCTCCGTGTCCTGTCTGGGGTGGCTGGTCTGCTTGCAACATGCTCTCTTGACCCTCACTCTGCTCTGAACTTGAATATGGCTGCACCCCAAGCTGTGGAGCTCCTCCGGGAGCTCCATCAGGGCCATCTGAGTCAAAGGCATCTGCATCCTCTGTGTCGTTTGCGGTGACTATCTGCCTCCACTGTGGTACTCTAGTGCAGTGGTTCAAATGGTACCAAGTATTACTCCCTTCTACCTGTACCGCTGTTGTTGTGGCTCATGTCACCTTGAAGGGTCCCTCTTGTGGGGCTCATGCCACTTTCGTCGGAACACTCGCAGGTAGACTTTATCTCCTGGAAAGATGACTGGCTCCCCCTGGTCTGTGTCTTCTTTCTGTGCTTTCTCCTTTTCCTGTTTGGAAATAGCTTTGTGTATTTTGGTTAGACTCTTCATGTACAACTTTAATTCATCTCCCAGCTGGTCTAGGTTGGGCCCCTTATACGGCCCCCTCCAAGTCGATCCAGGTATTGGTCTCCCTGTCAGCATTTCACGTGGAGACAGATGTGTCACCCTGTGCATC